GTCACAGCTGTTCTGTCCCAGTGAAGCTGGGGAGGGTCTCTAGACCTGTGGTGGTCTCGCCTGGAGATGCCAAGCATTGGGTTTGGTGAATGGCTTTGCAGCTGGGGTCTGGGCCTGGTGTTTGGGCTGGGAAGCAGAGGCTGAGGGTCCTCAGCTCACAGATTTCCACTACCGGAGTTGTTCTGCTGTTTCCAGGCCTGGCTGCGCTTGGCACTAAGCTTGTCCGCCTGGCAGGGGACCTGGCTCCTGTGTCTCTGGGCCGGGAGCTCCGGTCCTGGGGCCAACTGTCTGTGGGCCGTGGGCGGTGTGCTGGGGCCTGCGCTTGGCCTGTCCCAGACTGCCTGCAGCCTCCCTCTGCCCTCTGCAGCTCTACTGTCACTGTCACTGCCCCAGGAGTGTGGGGAGAGTCCAGACAGGTCACCCCTGTTTGTGGCAGCACGTGAAGGACAAGGTCCCCTCACCCTGCAGAACCTGAGCCGGGTCAGGAGGCAGTGAGGGGACCTGTGAAAACGCCGAGGGAACTGAGGAGCCCTGACTCATGGGGGGACTCTGTGCCTCTGGGGACACAGCTGGGGTCATCCTGCTGGCCTGTGGCGTGCTGTGGCCTCTGGGAGCCTGAGGGTCCTCCTGGGCCCTGGGCTCAACTCCAAGAGCCCCACTCTGAGCAGATTCCTGGCCGGGGCGAGTCTGTGGGGGTGGCGGGTGGGGCTGGGCAGCCCAAGTTCCAGGTTAACCGGGCTCTCGCCAGGAATTCTGAGGTTGGGGGCAAGATGCCAGCAGGGGTGCCCTGGGTGACCACACTGAGGGTGTCTTCACTGACCGCTGCTCCTGAGGCCTGCTCTCCCACCTGGTGAGGCCCGGCCCAGGAGGGAGCCCCGAGTTGCTTGGGGGCATTCCCCATGCTCCCTGAGGCCCCCCCGACCCCACCCCGACCTCGACCCTGTCCCAGGCCATCAATCGACAGCATTGTGCACCTGTGCCCTTTGTCCTGGAGGCTTGGGTGCCTGCTGATCTGGCCTGGCTGCCTCTCAGTGCCCCAGCTCCCAGGTAGAGGGCCGAGTGCTCTGTTGTGCAGGCTGGGAGACATGGGTTTCTCAGGCTGGGGGTGTTGGGGAAGCAGGGTCTCTGAATCCTGGGAGGGGCATCCGTGCTTAGGTGGGGTGCACAGAGGCCTTGGGCAGCCCTGGGTGATGGGTCCTCTGGAGGTGCTGGCCACCTGGGCGGTAGGGGCTCAGGGTGCCCACCTCTGAGGGAGCCAGGCCAGCCCTGGGGTGTGGAGGCTGGGTGAGGCAGTGGGTGAGTCAGGAGGGTGGGGGCATGAGTGCGTTGGGGGTCACCAGCCGGGCCACCTGGACAGTGAGGCGGGAGCCAGGTCCCTCCCAGGTCTCTGTTGCTGTTGTCACTCAGAGATGGTGCTCTGGGCCTGCTGGGTCCCCCGGAGGGCTCACTGCAGCCCCCTATGTGCTGGCTGCAGTTGGAGGACCCCAGGGGTCTCCAGGCCACCTCAGGTCTTCCTGTGGTGACCACCTTCTGTATGGCCTCCTTGGCTGGGTCTTGGGCAGGGTCACGGCCTCCCTGGACCTCAGCTCTGCGGGACTGTGGTGCGTGAATGGGGGCAGCAGACACAGTGTCTACTCCTGGCTGGGGAGAGGAGGGTCCCAAGAAATGACACTTTCTGCCTGTTGGGGTGTGCACCCCATCTATGCGTGTGTGGCTGCCCTGGGAGGTGTCTGGGGGTCACTATAGGACCCTGGTGGGGTGCCCCCTCCCTCCCGGGCTGGCCCCATCTCCTCCGTCCTCTCTGCCCAGATGTCTCAGGCCCTCTCCCAGTGGGCGGGGTAGCTTGGGTCCTTGCTCCCTGGGTGGGAGTGTGGGTGCCAGCTCTGCAGGAGCCTCCTGACACCTGCTGCCTGGGACTAGCCGAGTCCAGGGGTCCGGACCCAGCAGGCCAAGAGGCTGCTTCCTGCCTGGTCTCGTAGCTCTTGTTCCTACTCCAGGCCCAAGTCCCAGGCATGGAAATCGCGTTGTGCTGGGCAGGGCTGGGCTCCAGTGGGGTGGGGCCCCAGGGCACCTTCTGCTGCAGGCCCCGCCTGCCCGCCCTGCTTCCTGGGCCTCCAGGAGGCCGCAGTGTGGGATATGCCTGGGCCACAGCCACTGCTGGCTCTGCCCGGGGCCCCTCCCCTGCTGCCCTCCTCACCCCTCTGAACCTGACACCTGGACCTCCCCATCCTGTTTCTGACCCCAGGGTCATTGGCCTCCTTCCCAGCTGGTGTTGCCCTGGCCTTCTGCGACCTGCCTTTCCCACCTCCACAAACCCACCTGACAGGGCAGCATTTAGGGGTGGGCCAGGCTAGCCCCTGGGCAGTGGTGTGGCCAGTGGGGCCTGCTGACCTCCAGGACCTGAGACTTCTCAGTGGGCCTGGCTGGCCCTGTGCCTGGCTACCCTTCCAGGTCTTGAGTTGGGCTGATGCAGTGGGTGGGGATCCGCTTCTCTCTCCCCAGCTGGGCCAGTTGGCCAGGAGGACGGTCAGTGTCCTTGGAGTGTGAATGCAGGGGTTGTGTGTGCTCTGCCATCTTGACCTGCTGACGTCCTCGGGGTCTCACCAAGCGTGCGTCTGTGCTGAGGCTTGCCATGATCCAGGCCCTGTTCTAGGCTGGTGGGGTGGGTTCGGGCAGGAGGAAGCCGGACAGAGCCCTGCCCTGAGGGCCCACCCCTGTGGGGTGCACAGGCACAGAGCCAAGTAGGTCCTCATGTCGTAGGGGTCCCAGACAGGGACTCCTGGTACTGGCAGGTTGGGTGTCTGGACCCCCTTAGACCTGGGCCTTGGGAGGGGTCCTTGGAAGGATGCTGAAGGCTCCCAGGAAGGGAGCATGCTGGGCAGGGCACCCACACAGACTGGCATCTGGGTGTGTGGCTGAGGCCCCATGTGGCATGCACCCTGGCCATGCTGGGGGCCCTACTCCAGAGCCCACTGTGGGAGCGCACCTAGTGCGACAGCCTCATGCCTACATCTGCCCACAGGGTTGTGAAGGAGGAGATCTCCGACGATAATGCCAAGCTGCCCTGCTTCAATGGCCGCGTAGTCTCCTGGGTGAGTCTGTGGGACGTTGGCAGAGGGTCCTCAGCCCGGTAATGTGGGAGGAGGTGGTCACTTGTGCCTCGGTGCCCTGCTGGGGGCGCCCGAAAGCCAGCATCCCTGAGCCCTCACTCTTGTCCACAGCTGGTCCTGGCTGAGGGCACGCACTCCGACGCGGGGTCTCAGGGCACTGACGGCCATGCAGACCTGCCCCCGCCTCTCGAGCGGACAGGCGGCATCGGGGACTCCCGGCCCCCCTCCTTCCAGTAAGGGCTCTGGAGGCGCTGAGCCCCGTGCTCTCAAGGGGCTGGCTGCCCGCCAGGCCTGTGGCGGGTGGGGAGGGGCAGCTGAGCCGGGACCCATGGTCAGTAGGAGCTGGGCAGCAGAGGAGGGGCAGGCAGACAGGCCGGGGCGGGCCGGTGGGTGAATGGGCCCCTGTCAGTGTCAGGGTCCCACTGGACGAGAGGGGTGGGGAGCTCAGGGGGCATTCCAGGCGCCCGTGGTCCGGCCTGCCCCGGCCCACTCCCCTCTTACTGGCACAGCCCGAATGTGGCCAGCAGCCGTGACGGGATGGACAATGAGACTGGCACGGAGTCCGTGGTCAGCCACCGGCGGGAGCGAGCCCGACGCCGGAACCGTGAGGAGGGTAAAGAGGCCACGCCCTTGACCTCCCTGGGGCCCCTGTGGTGCACCCATGCCCTGCTGACCCTGGGTATAGCCCCTGTCAAGTGGGGGTCCCTTGGTAGAGGTTCTAGACCCAACTGCCCAGGACCCTAGTGGCCCCCGGCAACCCCGCAGTCACCCTGCCAGCCCCCATCCCTGCTATCCCCACAGCCTCCCGGACCAACGGGCACCAGAGGGGGGACCGGCGCCGGGACCTGGGGCTGCCCCCCGACAGCGCATCCACGGTGCTGAGCAGCGAGCTGGAGTCCAGCAGCTTCATCGACTCCGACGAGGATGAGAACACCAGCCGGTGGGCGTGGGTGGGCGGGTGAGCGGGGAGATGTGCCCAGGTGCATGCATGTGTCTGAGCGCACACATGTGCGGGGAGGGGTGCACAGCGCGGGGCTGAGCCCTCTCCTGATGGGCCCGCCCCTGTCCCTGCCTTCTCCTCAATTTTGTGGAGTTGGGGCCGGGAGAGGGCGACCCCTGACTCTGTGCACCCCAGGCTGAGCAGCTCCACGGAGCAGAGTACCTCCTCCCGCCTCATCCGGAAGCACAAACGCCGGCGGCGGAAGCAGCGCATGCGGCAGACAGACCGGGTAGCGTGGGCCGCGAGTCGCGGGTGAGCCCTTCTCTGGCCACGGGCCCTGCGCGCAGCCCCTCACCTGGTGCCTGTCCTTCTGTCTGTCCATCCACAGGCCTCCTCCTTCAGCAGCATCACGGACTCCACCATGTCCCTGAACATTGTCACCGTCACGCTCAACATGGGTGAGGCCCCGCGGGGTCTCGGGCTGGGGTCCCTTGGGGGGGCGTGGGTCTCTGGGTGGGGTTGCAGGCCTTTGGGGACCCCCTGCTCACCCCACCCCCCTGCAGAGCGGCACCACTTTCTGGGCATCAGCATCGTGGGCCAGAGCAACGACCGGGGTGATGGCGGCATCTACATCGGCTCCATCATGAAGGGTGGGGCTGTGGCCGCTGACGGACGCATCGAGCCCGGCGACATGCTGCTGCAGGTGCGGGCCGCGGGGAGCTGCTGGGGGGCCGAGGGGCCAGCTCCCCGACCCACCGCGCTGACCCCTCCCCCAGGTGAACGACGTCAACTTCGAGAACATGAGCAACGACGATGCGGTGCGGGTGCTGCGGGAGATCGTGTCCCAGACTGGGTGAGGCCTGTGCAGGGCGGGGCGTCCATGGGGCAGGGGAGGGGGCGAGGGCTCTGCGGGGCTGGGTGGGGCCTGAGGGGGCCTCACCGGTGTGACCCACCCACCCCACAGGCCCATCAGCCTCACGGTGGCCAAGTGCTGGGACCCGACCCCACGGAGCTACTTCACCATCCCGAGGGGTGAGTGAGCCCATGGGGCTGGCAGGGCGGGGGGTGGGGGCGCCGGCCCAGCCTGAGGGCCTTTCTCCTCTGTGCCCCGGGCTCTGCTTTTTTCCCCCACTGTTCATCGTCTGTTGCCACGTGGCGGCCGCCCAGCTGACCCCGTTCGGCCCATCGACCCGGCTGCCTGGCTGTCCCACACGGCGGCGCTGACCGGAGCCCTGCCCCGCTACGGTACGAGCCCTTGCTCCAGCGCCATCACCCGCACCAGCTCCTCCTCACTAACCAGCTCTGTGCCCGGCGCTCCGCGTAAGTGGCAGTTCACGAGATCAGGGGACTGAAGCGCCGGGTGAGGCCTGGCCGGCCGCCCACCTGGCATGGTCACACTCAAGAGCCAAGCCAGCCTTGAGTGTCTGTGCTGCGGCGCCCACCCGGGTCTGACCCAGCACGGACCCGTGGGCCCCCTTTCTGTGCGGTGGGAGTGGAAGGTGCCTGCAGGGGCTGGGCCCAGGGGTCAGCCATGGCTGGGGTCAGGGGAGAGGTGGGTGCACGCACATGGCCCCCACTCTGCTTTCCTGCCATTAACACAACTAACTCCCCTGAGCTCGCGGGGGGAGGGGTGGAAGAGGCCTGATCTCTGGCCCGAGAGCGCTGGTCTGCAGGGTGGGGGTGGCCTTGCCCTAATAGGCCCTGAGATCCTGATGAAGCACCTGCAGGGTGGGAGACAAAGGTCCCCCCCACCCAGGCCTGGCCCTGCGGGGTCTGTTGAATGGTGGTATGGGCCTCACAAGTCTCGGCTTTGCAGCCTGTGCTCCCTAGTAGCAGACTCTGGCCTCTGCGGGGCTGCAGCAGGCAGGGCCTGGGGTCTGTTTCTAGCTCTCCTCCACCTGTCAGCCACTCGGGGCTGAGGAGGGCGCCGTGCCTTGCAGAGCTGGAGGAGGCCCCACTGACGGTGAAGAGCGACATGGGCGCCGTCGTCCGCGTCATGCAGCTGCCGGACTCAGGCTTGGAGATCCGAGACCGCATGTGGCTCAAGATCACCATTGCCAACGCTGTCATCGGTGAGGGTCCCCTGGCTGGTGGCGGGGCAGGGCGGGGTAGCCCTGCAACACTGTCACTGCGAGGGCCCTCCGTGGGCTGGGCGGTCCTGGGTTCTGTGCCCTGATGCCTGCTGCGGCCAGGGGCGGACGTGGTGGACTGGCTGTACACACACCTGGAGGGCTTCAAGGAGCGGCGGGAGGCGCGCAAGTACGCCAGCAGCATGCTGAAGCGGGGCTTCCTGCGGCACACGGTGAACAAGATCACTTTCTCCGAACAGTGCTACTACGTCTTCGGGGACCTGTGCAGCAGTGAGTGGGGGGCTGCGGGCCGGGCGTCCCTGATGGCCTGCCCACCCCAGGCTCACCCACCCCCACCCTCCCCTCCCGCCAGATCTTGCGGCCCTGAACCTCAACAGCGGCTCCAGTGGGGCCTCGGATCAGGACACACTGGCACCCCTGCCCCACCCGGCTGCCCCCTGGCCCCTGGGTCAGGGCTACCCCTACCAGTACCCAGGGCCCCCGCCCTGCTTCCCGCCCGCATACCAGGACCCTGGTTTCAGCTACGGCAGCGGCAGCGCTGGGAGTCAGCAGAGTGAAGGTGAGAGCCCACAGGTGCCCAGCTCCCTGCCTCCCCACCGCCTGGCTCTGCCCTGTGTGCCCACCCCCTCTGCCCTGTGTGCTCCCACCTGCTCTGTGCTTGGGCCCTGGGGGGCTCCCTCTGAAAGGGGTGAATGGTGGAAGGGGGCAGAGGAGGAGAACCCGGAGGCTTCAGGGGTTGCTTGGGGGGTGCTGGTGTTTTAGCTGGTGAGGCAGATGCAGAGGCCAGGAGGCGGTGTGAGTGGGGATGGGGGCATGGAGAGGTATAGAGGCCTGGGGTGGGGCAGCAACAGAAGGGCCCCAGGACACGTGGAGGATGGACACCTCCCTCGGGCACCCGCAGCCTGGCAAGGAACTAGAGGTGGGCAGCTTCACAGGCAGCTGGAGCCGGATGCTGGGACATGTGGAGTGCTGAGCAGGGACGTTGGAGGTGTTCCAGAGGAGGGGGCTTGTTGGAACAGTGTCCCGAGGCCCAGTAGGGGTCGATGAGGCCCATGGGTGCATGCCCACAGTGTCTGGGGGAAGGTCAGGTGGCTGGCCTAGCAGCCCCAGAGAAAGGCTGGGGGAGAGGAGAGTGATTGGAGGGCAGCGGTGTCTGCCAGGTGGCTGTGCCCAGTGCCTGTGGACCCTGGACAGGCCCAGCTGGCAGGGGGCACGCCCTGGTAGGTGGGTGTGGGTGCCCGGCCAGGCCTGGTGTGTGACTCATCTATCCCTTGCTTTGTGCTGAGCAAGCCTTAGACTGAAGGACTAGCGGAACGGACCCTCGGGGCCGGTAAGCCAGGGTCCTGCCCGCCGTCCCTCTCGGCACGTCCCCAGCCACTCAGCGTCTTCAGGTTCCCAACGCTTCCTGAGAGTCAGGACAGGCTGAGCCGAGCAGCTGGCCAGGGCTCTGGGGTCAATCATAGGCGGGTCTTTGGGCGGGGAGCTCAGGGTGGCCGGCAGGTGTACCGGGCACACGGGGCCTTCTCTGCACCTCAGTTTCTCAGCTGCAAGACCAGGCCCTCAGTTCAGGCGTTGGGGTGAGGTGTTGGGGCATCGTGCTGGCCCCGGAGCATCCCTGCCTGTCTGTACCCCCCCACCACCCCCGCCTGCTGTAGCTGCTCTGCTTCCCTGGGCGGGGCTGGCCCAGCCCTCACGTCTGCATGGCTGCCCCCCAACCTTCCCCGACCCCAGCTCAGGACCACCAGGTTCTGCCCTGGGCTGCCCTGGCCACGGCCAACTGTCCTGGAACTGACTGTCCCATTCCTCTCCCCCTTTTCTCGACCCCAGGAAGCAAAAGCAGTGGGTCCACC